TTCTCAACTAATGCCGATAATAAAAATGCGACCCGCCGCGAGCCGCTGCTCCTTAGCGGGCGGGCAGCGGGTTGCCGATCGCTCAAGCAACATTGGACCGTGACGTCATAGTCGTTCTTTTTTTTTTTTTTTTTCCGTTCCGGACGGGCGCACGGCGCACCCGTTGCGCGCGCTTCTTTGTGCCGCTACCACCCCTACTTCGGCTTGTGATTACGTTGCTTTTATCTGTGGCCCGTGTAGCTTCGGTATGGCCTTTTGTTTATTTGCTTGTGAGGACTCCAAGACTCGTTTTAGCGAGCAACTCGGTGCGCCCAAGACTGCCCAGCTGTTCCTCGAAAGATGCCGAGTACAACTTGTAGCGCTGTGGGCTGCTCAAACAACCCGCTGCGCAAACCGGAGGTGCTTTTTCACAAGTTTCGAACGGATGGGAAATTGGAGAAGCTGTGGGTGAACGCCGTTCGACGAGTGGACTTTGGAAAGTCTTGGACACCGACAGCCAGATCGAAGCTCTGGGGGGCTAAGCTCGGCGCGGCGAGATCGAGGCGAGTTCTCCGCCAAACTCGCCGACCGCCGCGATTGGTCGGCGCCGTGCATGACGACACGCGCCGACACTCCCTAGATCGTGACGTTGAACGGAGGGTTTGAGGCAGTCGGAGAGTTGCATATTCGGAACTCGCGGCGAGATGCGGTGACGTCACTGTGACGTGGCAGAACCCGCCGCGGATAGGAAAATCTTGCCGGCTCCGACCTAGGCGAGTTTGAGCGAGTTGGGCGCGAGATCAGGGAGAAGCGTCCAAAATGGCAGCGTTTTCGTTCGTGTTTTGCCGTCGGCATAGGTATTTAAACCACGCCAATGAGTTTGACATGGACGACGTTCATTTTCAACAACACTATCGCCTCTCGAAAGACGTGGTAAGGTGGCTGTGCGATGAACTGCGTGGCGAACCGGGCTTGAGGCGATGGAGCCGTGAATGAACCGTCGCCCCCGTCGTGAATCCTACATCCAAATTCTACAAAGTGAATACTAGAAACAAATGTGTTTTTACGGCAATCTGCAACCAGGAACGCAATTTACCATTACCTACAGGCTTTTACAATTATTTTGATGGGTTGCTGTGCTGCGTAGATGCAAGATAAACGCACTTGATAAAATTCAAACTAAAAGAGATGATAAAAGAAAAGCAATATACTAACAACTGTGTAATTTCTTTCTCATCTTTCTTCTTCCACACCGTATTTTGACAAACAAATTGGGCGTTAGTTGTTTATACAGCAGGAGAACATGCCAGAACATTACGCAATTGTCACCTACTGTAGATAAGCAATTTAGCCAGTGCAGTATGACTGCTAGCCTAGGGTCTTTAACGAGCACCACGTAGTAGTGATACACGACCGCATGCCGGTACGATGCTCATCAACATCGAAAAGGGCAGGGGTGGGGGTGAATCCACGATCCTGGGTTCTGCAGCGCGAGCTTTCGCTCCACGTGCACCCTATTCTGAAAAAAAAAAAAAAAATATTGTGGCTGTCTGGCGGTGTGGGGGGAGAAAGATGAGAAAGAAATTACACAGTTGTTAGTCTGCGCCATTCCTGTATGTTGTTTTTCGTCTATACTCTGCTTTAGTTTATATCTTTATCAAGAGCGTTTTTCTTGCATCTACGTGGCGCAGCAAACCATCACAATGTCTAATCAACTAGCCCACATCCAAGCAATGTTTGTATAATTAGCATCCCTGCTGTTACCTATTCTTATTTGTCATTTACGATTTAAATAAAACAAATTGGGCTGTATGTATGTTGATACTGCCTAAAACTTGTTCTGCCTCAACGGGAAAGATTCTCCCAGCTGTAGATGAGAAATTTAGCCATGCAGTGCCGTACAACCGCTAGCCTGGGGTCTTTAACGTCCATCCCGCAGTAGTGTTACATGACTGCACGCCGGTACGATGCTCTTCAACATCGAAACGGGCAGGGGTGGGGATTGAACCCAGCATCCTGGGTTCTGCAACGGACCTTTCGCTCGACGTGCTCCGAGCTGGCGTGCGCTAGCCCAGCCGGCCACCGATCCCCCGATTTAAATAAAATAAAAACCCTTCACTGCGGAGCGTAGGGAAAAATCGGAGCTACGCTGGGGAACTCGCCGCCGCCGGGGGGGTCGGAAATGTAAGAGGGGGAGTGGGAAACTCGCCGGGGCGGAGTCAAAAGAAGCTCCTCCCCTCCCTCGTGATGTGGCATCGGAGAGATTCCCGCCGGAGGCGAGCTTAGCCAATACCACCTAGAACACAAGGCCTGCGCGTTTCCTCCTCTAGACGTCATCACTAGTAGATCCCCTCAGCGCCCCCTAGCTAGCCCGGATGAGCAACATCGTCTGCTACATCGTCTGCTCCATCGCCTGTTTCAGTGGTTTGTGTAACAGATAATGAAACAGATGCTCACGCCGAGTGTCTCTTGCAAATAGCATACGATGAAGTTAGACGTTCACGTGGAGCGTCAAATGCATGAGCGAAATTGCCTTACTGCTGCGCGAAGGGCTGAAAAGCCCTTCGTTGGACGCTGGACGCTGATGGACGCCATTTTCGAGGGCTCGGGTAGCTGCTTCGAAGCGTTCTACCGCAGAACGAGCGCGCGCGCTAGAAATGCGCGTCTCAAAGCCAGGTGCGCGTGCTAGCTCGCGCTCCTGGCCGAGGGAGCGTTCGCGTGCACGTCGCAAATGCACTGGAAGCTCGCTAACAGCTCGCGCTCAGCAGTCACGCACACAGCTGCGGCCGCAAGTGAATGCGACGTAGTTGCGACGCGGCCCCTACTCTCGTCAAGCTTCGGCGTGTTTGCCGCTTGGGGCGGGTCGGGGATCTACTAACGAAACGTCATGCGCAGGCCTTGTCTTCTAGGAGGTATTGGCTTAGCCCCCCTGCTCCGATCATTTTTCGCCGGAGAGTTACAAACGAAACCTACGGGTGTTGGTTGCTGGTGGCTTATAATGAAAAGGAAAACAGAATGTTCTGCTTTGTGCCACTGCTTGTTTACTACGCTATCTCGTGAGTAATACACAGGTCCGTAACGACTACTAGCGAACAGCCGGCGCGTGAAGCTTATGCGGTATAAACATTCGCCTCCCAATCGTTCGAACCCGTTACGCAGCAGTATTAATTAACACTGGGCTTGTGGATACCACAAAGGACTTTCAAAAAATTGCGAAAGTTCGGATTTGTAAGTTACAACTCTAATTTACCCGAGTTCGGCTGGAAGTAAATATAATATTTAAAAATGAAAAAGAAAACAACACTTGCCTTAGTCAAAAAGTTACGAAGGAAAACTTTTAAGATCCTCTGTATTCCAATAAAAAATTGTTATTGTGGGGGGGGGGGGGGAATGTGGAAGGGAAAGAAAGTGTTCTCACCTTGCTAACGTTCTCTCTTTTCCTCTATCACCCACAAAAACTTTCGCTAGCTTTGAGAAGAAAATGACTGCCCAAAGAACTTCCTTCTTTTTCATTTTCTTTTTTTAGTGCGGCAAGTTATTTCATTTTTACAAATTAGATTCACTACCTAGCAGTGGCGTCACGGGGGTCAGCGGTACCCGAGGCAATAGCCCGCCGCAACACCCCCCCCCCCCCCCCCCCCCTCTCGCGTGGCCTGCCGCGACTCCCCCCTCCCCTTGTGACGCCACTGCTACCTAGACGAACTTACGTGATGAATTAGTGTCATAGCTTAAAAATTCGGCTTTTACACAGAAAAAAAGAACGAAAAAACAGACGTCTACAGCTTAGCACACGTCTGTTCAAGTGTCGTGGCCCGCGCCGGAGAGCGTCAAAGCTTTGTGTCTGGGACTGACCCGCAGCGCGAAGGCAAGAGGGCCCCCAGTACTGTACGTCCCTGGCAGCGCGGCATAGATTAACGCCGCTCCTTCCACGGACTCCCGATGGCAATTTAGGCCTAGCGACGAATACGTGAGACCGCACGCACGCCGACAGCTGCCGAGTACGCACCGAACGAGTTCACTCGTTTTCCAGTCGCTAGCGTTTGGGTATACAAGCGACGAGTACGGCACGGCATAGCGCACGCACGGCGGCAGCCGCCGAGCACGGCACCGAACGAGTTGACGGGTGTTCCAGTCGCTAGCTTTTGGGTATACTCACTAACTCTTGCTACATGTGCTGGATAACTACCACGTATGCAGAATTAAAACAAAATCAGCTTAGCTTCTATTTTTAGACGGCTAGCGCAACAGAGGTAGCCGTAGGTGTCGCTTGGCCTGCGTGCTCGTTGAACGAGAACGACCATGACGTCACGTCCACATAGCGGCTGATTTCCAATGTTGCCGGATCCTCAAGCGGCTAGTTTCGGTTTTGTCGGCCGCGCCCCAAACGCAACTTTGAGACGTCGATATCTTTAAAACTACGCACAATAACAAGAAAAAAATTACACCTTCCAATTCAGGGACGCTGACTGCACTAAAAACAGCCATAATCCCAAAATCGAAAGTATGGACCGGAGTTGCCCTTTAAGCAAAACCGAAACTACAAAAACTTCACCACTAAACTGATGAAAAGAGATAAAAAATAGTATGTGCGCGCTGTAGGTGCGGTTGTTGCGGCTGCAACTCTCCATGTAGGCGGATTATTTTTATTAGAGAAGTCCAACTATCAAAGGTTTTGGAGGCAACTTGAATCAAAAACAGAAATCATTAATCGGAGGTAATCTAGAAACCGCTACAAATCCAATCCAATCCGATGACAACGTCGAGACGCCAAGCACGCTTCTGCGCTGCTGTTTATGGCGACAACATGCCGTCGAAAAACTGCGTTGACGACTTCCAAAAGTTTGTGTTGAGTCACAGGAGTCAGCTAGAAACATCCGGACTACCACCGCACTTCTGGCCCACCCTACATTGGAAGCTGCAAGAAAGCGTACGTTGCCAAAACAACGCAGTCTTTTTGTTCGTTGTGAAGCGCGTGCTTCGCGCAAACTCTTGTTTACAACTTGGCTTCTGTCCTTTTTCAGATTTTCGACGCTGGGGACGCCTTTCAAATAGTACAGGTAAATACAGCTCTCCACTTTCAAGCTACCGGTCAAACTAATGAAGGCGGACGCTGGAGCGGTAGCTTCAAATAGACTCTTTACACTGAAAATAACAACGTCCGCCCCGATCACTTGGGAGCACGCTAGTTCCAGCGCGCGCAGTAAGTCCGCCTGAAAATGGCAGTCTCTTGGACGAGCTCTCACCAAAGACTATCTGTGATCCTACTTGTAAATTTGGGGTTGAATGTCTTGTCCGTTATTTTATTTCTCCTTGTCTCGGGGTTTTGATAGTGACAAAACCAGCTCACCTGCATACCTTATATAACAACTTGCTCTCTTTTTTTTTTTTTTTTTGGGGGGGGGGGGGGGGGAGGGAGGGAGGGAGGGAGGGAGGGAGGGAGGGAGGGAGGGAAGGGGAGGGGAGGGGAGGGGTTGGAGTTGGTTTGGGTGGTGCAGTTGTAAAAATTGTAATAATTATTTTTTTTAACAGTGTTAATTGCAATGTGTCGATATTTTAGCACCTGTCATTTCGAGTAAATGACAGGTGCTAAAGTAAGTTTTACATCCGATGGTTGAAGCCAGAAAAGAACTGGCTCGTGCCTTTACTCCACCAGCGTGCAGCCGCTGCGCGGATGCCTGAATGACACCCATACGTCTTTCTTCCATTCCTTAGAGAAAGTAAAAATAAAAATAAGCTGCCAACGTATAATATAAGATAGATGCACACATAACAAATACAAAAGTTAGAGTGAGAAGGAAAGAATTTCATGGTTGGTGTTCCCAAGTTTCATCATAAGTCAAGGCGAGCGTCTGTTTCTGGCCAATATTTGCCACGTGGAAGTTTTAGCCCTTTGAGTTGCACTTGGCACCGTTGATGAAGCTGGTTCGTCTAGCTTAGAGTCAATTGGTGTAGGTTGTGACATGCCTCGCGAACTTGGGGGTTGGTGCAGAGGGGTGGCCTCAACATCCAGGCTGACGGATGACTCGGGCGTTTCCAACAACTCGCGGCGGTTCTTTGTGTAAATATGATTGCCTTTGTTCGTACATTGTGGGTTCGTGGCCCACGACACTCCTTGACTCTCGCCTTCTCAAACCAGCCAAGCACAACAAACCACATCACAGCTCTTGAGATCCCTCAGCGACGCCCGAGCGTCCTCGTTCGGCCCCTTTTTGATCACAGGGACACCTGGATGAGATAAAAAATCTGTTAGTTGTGTTAACAGCTTTCTCTTTCACAGTAATTTCCTTGGAGACTGCCCACCTAGCAAAGGCATTGCTCACTAATTCAAAAGACCCGGGTAAAAATCACTCCCTCCCCGTCGTTGCATTTTCTTAAGATTCGCTTTGCAATTCACACTTCTTTTTCTTCGAGACTGTTGGACTGGAGGAAGTGTGATTAAAGTCGTAAGCTTTTGAAGGACACTTAAACTCGTATGATGAAAATTGGGGAACATTATCAGTACAAACTTCTACCGATATACCATGTCATGGAAACCAGGATGATGATGCCCAGATGACTGTTTGAGAACAGGTATCTTGGAGCCTCTCAACTTGTGGGTAGTTTGAGTAAGCATCAGATACCACTAAGTAAGAGTTTCCTTTGAAGGTAATCATGTCAATTAATTAATCAAAATGGTTCAACATCTTGTGAGTTTGGGGTGTCTCGAGCATCTGGTGGCACTGATCTTGACAAAGCGTAGGCCAATGCAAGCTTTGTTCCAGGTAGAAAGTGAAGAGTAAAATCATACTGCTTCAGTCTCAGAAAGAAACACTGCAGTCGAGGTGGCACATCACCCAGACATTTTTTTGACAGAACAACCAGGGCTGTAATCGGTTTCTAAAACGACGCGTCTGTCGTATGTCAGGTGACAGAACCTCTCGCATCCAAATACGATTCTGAGAGCCTCTTTCTCTATTTTTGAGAATAGTGAGGTTTACTGTTCAACAATGACCTCGAAGCATAAGCAACGAGAACCCACAACCGTTTGTGCAGCTGCGGTAAGGCCACTTCGATTCCATCTTTTGAAGCATCAGCTAACGCTTTTGCGGGCTGCTAGAATAAAAAATTGCGAGGACTGGACCACTGGTAAGCGCAAGTTTTAGCTGTTCCCACTCGTGGTCATACGCCGGAGTCTTTTCGAAAAGCGTGCCTTTGTGAAGAAGCCTTTTAAGGTTTTCTGCACGTCCAGGCAATCGTGGCAAGAATTTTCCGAAGTAGTTTATAACACCCATCACACGCTGAGGAACCTTTTTGTTCGTGGGTGCTTCGAGGTTCAAGATGCTTTTGAGAAGACTCTGGACATGCTTGGTACCTTCGTTGCCTATAACATCTCGGAGAAAAATTGCTTCCGGAATTCCAAATTGACATTTTTTGGCGTCCAAAGTCAAACTTGCCCTGTCTGCAGCCAGTAGAGCCGATCTCGACTGCTCGTCGTGCTCCTGCCGTATTGCTCCCCAAACAAGCGCGTCATCTATGTACACGTGTACTCCCTTCAGTCCCTCGAAAACTTCCAACATTGCACGCTGAAACACTTCGGGAGCGGATGCCAATCCAAAAGGTAACCTAAAGCATTGCTATCGGCCAAAGGGCGTTGTGAACATACAAATTTGAGATGTTTCCGCAGTCGGCTGAATTCGGTGAAAACCTGATCGTTCATCGAGATTTGAAAACACTGTGGCATTGGTAAGTTCATCCGTCATATCTTCTCTTTTCGGCATTTCGAAGGGCTTGTGTCTCAAACTCTCCTCGGTTCTGCGTGGATCCGTGCATGCCCCTAAACTGCCGTTCTTTTTAACAGACTTGTGGGCTCACCCAGTCGGAGGGTTTCGTTACTTGCGCGATGATCCCCGCCTCCTCCGTGTGACCGAGTGCCTACTTTGGGGGCTCCATGGGGCCCAAGGCAGACGACGAGTGGGCTGAACCATGTGCACCGCATCGTCTTCGAAGGAGATACAGTATGGACGTTGCGACTTTCTGACGTCTTGGAGCAGCAATGGAAATTCTAGCTGCAATTGGCCATCCCCCAAGGAAATCTTTCGCACGTTACTGACCGAGCCCAACGCTTCGCAAGTCTGCAGTCCAAGCAGTGTGCGCCTGCCCTTTTTCCTGACGAAAAACTCGGCTGAACGGCGTTTTCTTCCGGTCTGAGCCTTACTTTTCCTAAGTGGCCTATAGCGCCACCGTTGTACCTCTCTAACACTGTCGAACTAGGCAACAGCTGTCGTCTGCTGTTCGCGGTGCGAAAAAGAGGCGGCGGAAGGAGGTTCGTTTGCGAGCCCGTGTCGACCTTGAACTCTACGAGCGTCCAACCAGTTGTTGCCTCGATAAGTCAGTCCTTTCCTGCACCTGTCGGAGGCTTGCCCGCTCGAAGGATGTCTAACTCGTCTTCTTCAGCCAGCCCCTGTACTTCCTCAACTTGTGGACCGCATTGCAAAACATGGGGCTTTGCGTCGCAGAAAATGGCGAAGTGATGTTTTCTTTGGTACGAATTCTGGGCCTTGCCAATAGTTGGACATCGGCGTGGTCGGTGAAACTGGATGCTCTTCGATCTTTCCTTAGTGTCTACTTGCTCTTCTGGTGTGCACTGTTGACTCAACCACGTCTTTGCCAGTTCTGAAGATTGTTCGGTGGCTTTGCAGATTCGAGTTCATCCTTCGAGTGTTGGGTCACGCTCTTTCAGGAGACGTTCACGCGGCTTATGGTCTCTGATGCCATCGACATTCTGGACCTTTGCGATGAAATTCGTAATCACGCCGCTATTGCACGAGCGCACCTCGGGTTTAAGTTCTGTCAAGAAGTGTTAAAATTACTCACCTTCAGTCTTGCGCATCTGGTGAAAAACGTAGCGTCAGAATGTCTCGGCTTCCTGTGCACAGTACTCTTGAAACTTGCGGACCACCGTGGTTTAGATTTTCTTTAGTGTTCTGTGAAGGTGTTGGAGACATACACAACCTCACTTCCTGCCACATGCAGCATTGTATTGTAGTTTCATGAATATATCTTGCACCCTTAGATAAGTTGTACTTCCGTATATTGAGCCATTTTCACGGATAAGTTGGTATATAAGTCTCGCCTTCGTATAAATCGCACCTCTTTGCACGGTTTTTGCGATGAATTTTTTTGTTTTATGCGCATTGGTATAGCAAAATTGGAGTTTCGCACATTTGGCTAGTTCGCACATACCGTTTGATGTGGAACAACTTTGATGTTTCGACTTGCGAGAAACGCCCAAAGCACAACCCTGTCTGGTGGGGGCAATTGAGTGTTTCGCAACAAGAGGACGTTAAACGCGCAAAATGAGAAGGTAGTCGGCTTTGTTCGAGTGCACACATGCCGAGCGAACGAAAGTCTAATGTGCCAGACACTCGTGAACGAACATTTGGACCACTAAGCCTAGCCTTGGCCAAGTCATGAAGACGACACGAGCATCGACACGCACGCAGATAGATAAATCTTGACATGCTTCTTTGGGTGCCACTAAAAGATCAGCTAGCCGCAATTCTTCCTTTTACATGTAGCAACACTGCTGGAGCTAGGCAGATAAAAACTGCTTATCAAACGGAAACTAAGAAAGACACGAGAAAACACTTACCTTTCTTTACCTTTCAGTTTTCCTGGACTAAAGAAAAATAATACGGAACCATGGTTGAATTAGGCAACGTCATTCACATACTGTAGAAGCTTTATTTTCACTGTCTCACCTATCCTGATTGAGCCTTTTTGGGGAAAATAAATTTCTCACTTTCAGTTATGAAAAGTTTAGAAAAGGGTAGAAGAGTGCGGCGACAGCAGTGCCTCCTGGTAGGGGCAAAATCACCTATGGCTACATAGTTACGGTGCTCTACAAGAGATGGCGCGTGGTACATACAAAGATTGCGTCGCACTGTGAATATAAAAAGACAAACCTGCACATAAGTCGCAGCGTTGCGTAAAACACACCAAGCAAAATGTGGAAAACAGAAAAAAAAGCGGAACTTATACATTGAAAAATATGGTAGACACTTTTTGTTTGTTCGTTCGGGCCGAAGCAGTTCTGCATTGCGTGGGAGCCAGAAGAGAACTGGCTCATTCAGCGTGCTGTTGCTGCGCGAGCGTCTCTACGACACCGATAGAGTAAATCAGTGTTATAAGTCGCTTCTCAGGTGTCTGCATGACTACACACTTTTATTTAATTCACCTCCCCAATTTGCCATGTGGCAAAATGTGCAAAAAAAAGCTATTAGTTTTTTTTTTTTTATTTTTTTATTGCCAATTAATTTTTGTGGGAGATATGATTTCATCAAAGTGTTGCTCATGAAGTCTTCCAGTTTTTCTTAGGCTAATAAAAAAAAAAAAGAACTGCACTTTAAATTTTTTCTTACCTCTTCACTTTCATCTCAAGAAAAAAGAGTTTTGTGCCTTGTTGATAGGCTGTGCGAAGTAGTTCTTACAAGTTTTTGTTGTGCGAGAAAGAAACAATGATTTTAGCATTTGAAACATGTATGTCTTGATAAGGTAACATATATCTTATCTAAAAAGCACCTACATATATCAAAATTATCTGCGTAAAGGGGGAATTTAGTAATGCTCTGCAAGGAGCCGGAGTTTTTTTTACTACGGTTCTTCATAATTCTTGTTTTCTATTTATCCTTAAGATTATTTTAGGCATTACATAGGGGGAAATGAAAGTACAAAGTAGAAAAAAACAGGTTTGAGTGAAACGAAAAAACAAAAACCTACAAATCATAGTGTTGGCATAAGAAACTAGTATAAACAAGCAAAATAAGGGGAATAGAAAACACTTAAAAGGATGCACAATGCAAAACAGGACTTCATTATGTCGTTATATATTACTTAGAGCACTAATGAACATTTCTTGAGAAGTGATCAGTGTGGATTCTCCGGGCAGCCTGTTCCATTCGGAAATGGTAGGAACAAGAGGGGAGTTCTTAAACAAGTCAGTATGTGCAAAGATGGGTGACACTTTAAATTGATGACTGACGCGAGACGAAATACGTGGAGCTGGCTGGATGAATGAGCTTCTAAAGAGAGATGATTCATGATAAGAGTTCTTTCCTTAAGCATTCCAACGAAAGCTGGTGGCAGCTGGCTACACTGATCCTGCGCAGTAGTGGGGCCTAGTAAAGTCACTTTTTCTTATAAGGTATCGCAAACCCGTGGGTATGCGCCACAGGCGTTTTGCGGCAACGTGACTCCTTCCGAGAGTTCAATAAAAGACTATCAACATTTAGCCTGCTGCATGGCTATAGACGAGGAATCTTCTTTTCTGCAAGGAATGAAGCTCCTGTGACGGGGCATTTATGCCCGTCTAAATTTTAATGCATATTAGACCAATCTCTCCAAGCATTCGGCACATGCGTGGCACCGTCATAACTTTAGTCAACAGGAGGTAGGTGGCAATGCACGATGCGGCTTGTGTTGTCTTCCTCGGCATGCAAAGAAGAGCGGTGAGGTTGTCGTACGTGCACCTGGTAAAGTTCCCTCGGTGCATCGAGGCAGTGATGGTGTAGCCAGGTTGACTGACAAGGTCAGTCTGTTGCATTTCGACAGAAACTAACTTGGCTTTTGCATGTGTTTGTGGCATTGCTCCCCTGAGAAGGGGTGAGGGGATAGCCTAAGTGGAGGGGGCAAGGTTCACCCGATAAAGAGGGGACAGTAGCAGAAGTAAAAAGGGCAGAGTTTCCCTTTCCGTGTTTCACCTGTCATTCTCCATGTAATTCATAAAACAGTCGTGCTTCTACGTCGCGGTTGTGGGATGCGCGTGTCATCGAGAGACAGGACTGGATGACCACGTGCATATTGTCTCTCGCGTGCGCCGTTGTAAGAAAGAAGAGGTAGGAGAGGACGATAGATTAAAATGCAGCTGAAGCAGCACCTACAAGAGCCCAATGAACCAAGTGATGCCTACTGCGCCGTGCAATCGCATTATTAATTAAAAAGCTGTTTCCTAAATATGTTATGACTAGAGTTGCTAGGGCGGTTGCATATATAAATCTTGTTCCTGTGTATATAGAGGTCTTCTTCCTGTGAAGCTTGAGTTTTCCTTATTCAAGGGCATTTCTCATCCAGGGTTTTTCGGTTTCTTTCGAATTTGTTAAAACCGACCAGGGGGGAGAGGGGGGAAAGGGTTTATTACCAAGGTTTATCGGTATTTACCTCAAAACATGAAACCCTAGCTATTGCATACTGCATTACGATATATCATATCTTGAAATTTGTTTGTCATTTCCAAAAGCACGGCAGAGGGCAGTTGATGATGATAACATGGTCCAAAGTGCAGAGTGTCACGACTGAGTTGGTCTAACAGTCTCGCAAAATATGGAGCGTGATTGCTTATAAAAATGCCTGGGAAGCTGTGCCATCTCGTCATTGGATGAGGAACCATTTTCACTCGCATGCTATTCCTCGGTCGTCTTGTGACCCAAAGGTGCAGGAGGAGAGCAGCGATGAGGAAGTTGCCGACGAAGACGACGCGGAAGAGAAGATGGAGGAGGACGATCCCCCCGGCAAGGAGACGGCACCGCGCTCCTGGAAGGTGCTCATCACCAGGGAGGGCGGTCTGCAGCACACAGACTCTGAACAGTGAGTTGCCGCCCCGTCTCGAGACATTGAGACCCAGGGTCCGATTTTGATTGAGTAAGAACGAGAGCGTTCTTGGCTGCCGATTTGTCGTAGCGGCACACCTCGTGCGTAATCAACCGACGAGACATTTTTGGCACCTTCGCGAGTTTTTAATCGGGCATTATTTTGGTGAGATTAACTCACCAACATACAGGCAGTGAGGTAGGCCTCGTGGCCTTTGATGTGCAAGTCCTGAGTACTCTTTCATTCACCGGTCGATGTCAGCTCGTGTACGGCAGCAGAACTAGTTGAGATTGGAAAACAAAGCGTGGGTTGTCACTTGTTTCCAACGTGATATAGCGGACAATCACAATTTCAGCCTGCATCTAACTTTGCCAAGGCGCTCGGTTCGTAGCAAACAATAAACGTTTTTTCTTGTCTTTTAGCAGACAATGTACGGTTTCCTCTCGATTTATTTCTGTCTGTGAATGACTCTTCCTGGTAGACAAACCACGTCCTTTGCTCGTATTAACAGATCCTATATTTTCTCGTTTCACAAGAGGCATATTAGATCTTGCTCTTGTTGGTTCAAAAACCAAACCCCGGTACACTTTCAGACATTGAAATGCTTTAAAATTAGGGTTCCATGTTCTCGGTAAATACCGATAATCCAAGAAAAATAACCCCCGAGCTGGCTTTACCAAAATCGGGGAAAACTGAAGAAACCCGTATTGAAGCTGTCTTTGAAGAAGAAAAACCCAAACTTTCAACGAATGAACCTTCAACAGCTTTATTTTGCCTCGACCCGGAACATGGCCTGCGCTGTACTCTCTCCAGGTTTTTTTTTCCAGAGTAATAGCAAAAGGAAAGGACCAATGCACAGATTTTCTTTGTTTGTTATTTAATGAAAAGCACATACAGTGCTTGCAAGCTGTTGAGGTTTAGATGCGTCAAATAGAAATATTGAAAGCAAAACATTGTCACCTTTCTTCCATTCAGTTTCAGTTTAGCGCATCTGCTTTTGTGCTATTCCGGTGGTTTCAGATTCGAAACCGTAGGTACTCTTCTAGAGAGCTTCTCCATCGAACGTAATCTCTCATCCTCTGAATTCAATTCTGAAAACCGTTAAAAGTCTAAATCGGTAGAACTACCGCTACAATTGCCACTACGGCCAGAGCAGCCGACATGCAAAGTGACTACTTCGTGTGTATGTCATGCGCGGAGCGTGCAATTCCAAAACTATAAATAGCCCCAGAAAAGCGAGACACAGTGCTAACATAACATTAATAGTTCGCCAAACAGAAAACAAATACTGTCGAGACCGGTTATAGCAAAGTCAACAGGAATCGGAAATCACTTTGCTATATCCGCTATTTCATTATAACCAACTTTCACTTCGCTATATCCGCTATTTTGTTATAACAAACTTTGGTTACTAAAGTGCAAAAGGGGATGGGAAATAGTGATCACTTCGCTGTAGCAGCTGTTTCGTTATAACTGACTTTATTATAACCGGTTTTGACAGTAGCAACACATTCAACATTGTGCGCCGTTTCACATTTAGGGGGCCTCTTTCAAACGTGTAATTGCCGCCGTACATGTACGGCGACAACTGCAAAGGGTTAAGAGAAATCCCAATAAACGCTCGGTTCATCTCCAAAGCTGAAGAAGCATGTTACGAAGAAATTAACCCCGAATAAAGCTCCGCTAATTTGAAGGAAAAAGGACCTCGAAAAAGGGAATTCATACGCAGGCTCCTATTCCCAGAAATTTATCCGTCCCCGCATGTGCACATACTCCACGCTTGGGCATGCGAACACAACCATTTAAGTTACCGTGGCACTATATGCAAAATAGTGCTCGGGCACTTATTCGGCGTCCCAGTGCAGGATGATCTTAAAGGCCGACGTACAACCTCGGTTTTCTGTGGGAGAGCCCAGTTGGGGCAAGGTAAAAAGTGGAGATGGTATAGAAAGGAAGAGGCAGACAATAGTTGAAAGTGTGAGGTGTACGTCGACCTTCGAGGAGGAGGCTGGTGGGAATTACATCTTTCAGGGTAAATGGGCCACAGTATTTTTCTCAAATTTTCGTTGTCGTACACCCCTACATTGACTTGTATGCATTTTTTTTTTATAAGTATGGACCTTACGTCTTTTCTTACTGCACTTATTCAAATCAATAAATTTGATCGATTAATTTCAAACCCCTATTTCGACGCATTCGGCGCTGTATTTAGACATGGTGCACCATCTAGGGCAGTGGTTCTCACCCACTGATGTTTCGCGGACCCTTTTGGATCGGCGGGGATGATGGAGGACCCCGTTCGTGGTGAGGGAAAGAGAAAGCTAAAGTTTTATTATGATAATTATTTACTAAATGGATAAAACTAAGGGCTAATGTGAAGTAGACCTCTCTTATTGACAAACACACAAGAAAACTCGCCCGAAAACTGAAACATTTCTTCCTGGCCTGAGAAAAGACAGCTTTATTGCCGGGCTTGACTGATGAGGCATGGCTTCGCGGACCCCTAGAATGCCTTCGCGGACCCCCGTTTAAGAACCGCTGATCTAGGGTATTACGGAAGAACTCTACCTTGACTCTCAGTTTTGGTTTTTGCGTTGTCGCGAGGAGGCAATTCTTCTCGTGGCTTTAAAAAGTAACTGCAAAGAAAAAAGTTTTTTTTTAAACAGCCTATTTTGGGCGCATGTTAAAAACAATTTTTTTTGCAAATTTTTACAGCAATATTTATTTCGTGAGACTGATTTTAGTTAGCGGCTATTTCGTACGTTTTAAATCGCGTGCCACAAAGTTGGTGTTCCGTGACGTTTAGCACCAACTGGCTGCTATACTTCTCATTGGCTAAGAGTTTGATTGACAGCTTAGAACTTGGTTGTTAAACCTTTGTTATATATTCTAATTTCCATTTAAGCCGCATATTTTTACGTTTGAAGAACAACCCATGTAATGAAAGTTATTATTTTTTTACATAAGGTTTACAAGGCAGGCACTTCCGTTTGGATTCATACCATAACAAACAAAAGCTTTGCCATCCTTTCATGGCCGCTGAAGTCTCTGCTCCCGCCTGTCTCGCCTATCTCGACTAGTTTCGTCGAAGTGATCAGTGTTTCGTGTTGACCCAGGTGCTGGAGTGAGACTTCCTGAAGTGAAGTAGTGTGTGTCCAGCAGCTGTTGCAGGTGTTAGTGGTCGGAAGCGATGCAAGGTTTTGGCTTTCGTAGCGCGGTTTGTTACTTTTGTATTTGTGCTTTTTTTTGTTTTGTTTTTTGCTTGCACGTGCAAATATTGTTTTTTTGGAGATGTCAGCTCCTGTAAGGCGGTGCCGTTGCTCTGTAAAGAGCTGCCAGATGAGTAATTGCTACAGTGAGTCTTCCAGCAGCCATGTCGCCCCGAAAGATGACAATCTGAATGCTATTTGGCTGTAGGCAATTGGGTGTTCGCGTAGCGACAAACGTGTCCAGGTATGTTCTCGTCATTTCGCTCCGGAGGCCATCAAGATTCGCACCAGGTGCACCGAACATCTGCAACTGAGACCCGGCTTTTACGTAAAAAACCTGCCACAGCCAGGTTATTACGTAAAAGCTGTCCACAGAAGCCTTCGAAAGTCAGAATTCTGCGTTAGCCGACAGATTTTACTCGGCTTCCGAACCATTTTACGTAAAGTTGTATGAACTGAATGTGTACTGTTATCGTAAATCTTGGCTTGTGATTGCACCTTTGTAGACCATCTTATTCGTTTTGCTGGAGAGATGCAAACGACGGGCATAACAAAATCAGTTGCATATTCCGCATACTCGCAAAAGCACTTCACCAGTCACCTCGCGAAACACGGAGTCCGCACCGTCCTGACTTCCCAGTCTTTTACCTGCTTTAGAGCAGTTTGTACCTGCTAGTAGGTGTGCCTTCTGAAACTGAAACTTGAATCTAGGGGCAGACAGTAAAGAGATAAACTTGGGAAAGCTTGGTCACCCTCCCCAATTTCTGAATTATCATGTGATTGTACCATAATAAATGCAGCAACGCCTCTTCACAAAATAAAGAAAAAGCTCTATGTTCACAACGTAAAAGATGGTCTCAGGTCATGCATCTGGGGCAGGTAGGAAATCTTGCCAAAATTTATTCACACCGCATGATGAGCACAACAAAGTCACACGAGATTTTAGAAAATATCGGTGGTGACTTAAGTTTCCCTGAAATTCTGTATAACCGGTCCTTTGCCGGACCAAATCGTCTACTCGAGCGGTGTGCGTCGTTGTGCAAACACGTCGCTGTGCAAACACAGTTCAACAACGCGGAGCATAAAAACGGCAGATCTAGGACATCAATCCGGAGTCCCTTGTTGAATTAAAACGTCGCAATTTTGTTGAAAACGCCCGCCGCTTTTTACTCACGGTATGCCTCGGCGATCTTCCACATTTTGAAACGGAATGAAGGAAGATTTACTTTCAAAAACGCTCGCTGCGTCCTCTCAGACCAGCTGTACCAGATCAGCTGACGACAACGGGAATGAACCCGTTGAACCTCAATTCCACAACAACTAATTTGCGCTCCGTGTTAGTGTGGGTTTGTAGTTCCAAGTCCCGCACCACACACCACGAACGTTTCAACTTTTTGTCGCATCGCCGTGTTGCACCAAACAGAACGAGATCGCCGAAGTAAATGCAGCGCTGTCGTGAATTTTGGATTGTGGTTGCGTACTCGTGGACCCTGCAACTCCCTTCGCTTTCAAGCACACACGGCAATTACATATGATACTTTCCATCTTCCGGGAACATCAAAGGGGCACTTTTCAGGTCACGTCTTCGCTACATGCGCCCGCAAACAGTGGAGCTTCTTGCGTCCCGTCAAACTACTAGGCCATTGTAGTCAATCCAAAGCAATACCGGCGCCATGTTGAACGTGTATTGTTGCCACATTTTCTCCGACCAAACAAAAACAACAGAAGGAAACCGGCTCTAGCTTCCAACGTACATCGGCAACACCTTCCCCTCCGTTCCCAACCCCC